CTCGAAAAATTTATTTAGCTTTGAGAATATAGATATCGGAATGGAGTGATGTAAATAATTGTAATAAAATTTGGAATGGAACTCACTTAAATTCTTTATTTTTTAAAATGAACTACTGTATATTAAATGATTTAGTATAATTAAACATTCGTGACTCTATTTAAATCACGGGTCGCTATAAAAAAAATATTTATTAATATATATATATAATAAATATATTTATCAATATTAATATAATATATTTTATTTGTTCATATAAATATAAACATTTAGAATAATAAAAAATTAAAAAATACATATACATTGTGGGTTAAGTTTAAATAAATTTTGGAATATTAAACCTGAACCCACCCTAATCCGTCTCTCTCTTCTTGCAAGCCAAAACTCAAAAATTTATGTTGATTTGAATCCAAACAGGTCGGATTAAATGAATTTGGGTAAATCTACTTTTAAAAGTGTATGCATCTTATCTAAATGCTTTACAAAAACTATGTAACAGAAAGAACTGAAGGTAATAGAAATATATATATATATATATATATATACAGACACATGAAGATTTTCATTTCATCTACCCTAGTAAAACACTTAATAATCACGTCTATATTAGGAAAAAAAGACCAGAAGGTCCAGTGAGCTTATGAAGTCTACGATTTACAGAATTGCAGGCTCTACATCTTTCCTCTTTCAATAGTCTAATAAAATTATATTATTAATTTAATTTAAAACGCTTTTATCTATAAAATATCATTTATACTAATGAAAATATAATAAATAAATAAATAAGAATTTAAAGAGGAAAAAATCAGAATGAAGACAGGAAATAATTTTGTAGGATTGATTCAATGGAAATTCAGGAAAATTCATATACAAAAAATTTAGGAATTTATTAAGTTGGAAAGATAATTTATTCCCTTTTAAGAATAAAATAATAATAAATCCAATAATTCAGGAGAAATTACCATATCTAATCCTCCTCCATTCCTATATAAATCTCTTCTTCATAGCAAAAAAAAGTTCCGATATCTATCTCCCTTTGAAGAAGAAGAAGAAGAATATGCATTCAAGCAGAATAGCATCAGTCAATGAGGACGTCGAACATCAAGTGAAAGCAAGCATGGAGAAGCTGTTTCGGATGGCTGAAGCAGATGCCAGATTCCTTTGGAGAAAACTTGGCGGCGGCATGGAAGACAATGAGGCGAAGAATTGCAGCAAAAAGAAGAAGAAGAAGAAGAAGAAGAAGACGCATACACTTTCTTCTTTGTTGAATATTTGGGCCAGGAAGGAATTACACGAGCAGCCAGGAGGAGTCCGTGATTGTTCTTCTGGGGGCAGCCATGAAGATCTTGTTGCAGGTTGGATACAGCAGTATCTAGGAATTTCTCTCCAGAAGGAAATTGCAGAGAAGAAAGACGAACAGATGATTATTGTTAGGGTTGGCCGGAAGATTAAAAAATGGTTTAAGAAGAACATGAAACCTACTGCTACTGCTTCCGTTGATGTTCAGACAAACTTTGACTTCTCCCTCTCTTGGGGCTGTGTCAGTTTTCATTCTGAATTTTGTGTAAAGAAACCACTTTGGTGTAAGTCGCTACTTAAATTAGTTTAAAACTCTACCCAATCAAACCAATAATGTAAATAACTTAGCTCTGGTCAATCATTTTTTTTTGTTTTTTTGGGACAAAAAAAGCAGTTACATTGAACAAGAAATATAGACAGAGATGGACTGGGAAGAAGAGAGGCGTGCGCTTTGCTTCTTTCTTCCTTTTTTTTTTTTTATTTTTTTTTATTTTTTCTGTAAGAAAAGCTCAATTATTTTCAAGAGGGTTTTAATTGTTTAGAATTTGGTGTTTCCCCCACTCATCCAACTTTTTTCAAAAGAAAAAACATATTATGGTAACTTCCAGTTCTTAACTATCAATATTTTTGAACAATTAAATACTAATATTCATGATTTGTCACTTTTATAAGATACTGCTTATTTGTTAAAAAATAAAATTGTGCTCATAATTTAAAGCAAAAACTTCACGACTGAATAAATTAAAACTAAAAAATAAAAGATATTTAGAAAATAAGTTAAAATTAATAATTTTGCACAAAATAAAAGGTAAATATGAAAATTTACAAATTTAGAAGTAAAAACAATAATACCATATATTTCTGGTTTTGTTTTTATAATTTCAGTCTTACCATACACGTAAGCTGAATTGCCGTAGTGGCGCAGTGGGGAGAGGAAGAGACGGTACGGTGTGTTGATTATGTTGTCACCGTCAGTGGCATCTGTGCAACCTCAACCTCTACTCACTGCTGTGTCAAGAAGCTCACCAGCACAAATTCCAGCAAAATGTTACATATATATATATATATATCTGTGTCTGCGTCTGTGTATATACATATATGCATATACGTACAGATAAGTTAAACCAAGTTGGGCAGTCATGTCAAGAGTAAAATCACAGAAAGAGAGTGGCTTTCATTTGTTCAAAGTCAATCCCACCTGGTAATATGAATTTGAAAATTAATTTTTTATTTAAAAAAATAAAAATAAAAATTTTACTGACAATTTGAGTAAGAAATTATGAATTCCTGTCAAATTAGGAAACTAAGAAAAGGAAAAGCAAAATTGTGGTGCTAAACTTGATTGAATGTTAGAATGATATTTGTTTATTTGCTTAGGAAAGCAGTACGTTGAAATGTTTATAGTTGGTTAGGTATTCAAAAAGACACCGAGGCAATGAGAGGAGGCCTTATGCCACTGACTTAAACCCGTCAGCAACAATTAAGAAATATTTGCGACAATTACGAAATATTTGGTAACTGAGGCTAACCCAGGAACAAATGAAAAAACCAAGCTATGTTCATTAGAAAATGATTTATTTATCAAATATAGAATACAGAAAAAGAGAAACGCAAACAACACATGATTAGTATACACTCGGCCTGAATCTTAATAGGGTTTACTTGCTGAATGCTTCTGTTCCGGGGGGGAAAAAGAAACTGTTGTGTTAAGAGTGATATATACTTCTTACCAATTGAATAACTGGCCTCCAAATTAAAACCTAGAGTTGGTCTGAATCCTCCCTGGTACCACTCCAGCTGCAGCAACAGTCCGCTTTCTTCTCACATACACTACTGACCCGCTGATAAGTAATAGACCCAACATAATCCCCTGTCCAGTATAGCACAAAATACATATATTAGATGATTTTATCTAATAATTACAGGCATGCATTGGTTACGGATGCTAGATGATAGCTCATTAGTAAATAGGGAGGGTGCAAGTTTTCCTAAAGAAAATACATAAAGCAGGATGCTAAAAATGCCAGCATACCAACTCATGCACATCATTAAAGAAGCAAGATCAAGTCATTCCTCAAAAATCCAGAAGACAAAAATGCACAGCCCTTTTTAGGACGGCAGAATACAGTCTTCAGATAATAACATCAGTAATTTAAGAATAAGGCACTCATGATTGGATAGGTTCCTCGGGGGAATCTTGCCATCCCCTAAAAGTTGAAGAGTTAATAATTTCAGTAATTTAAATACAATAAATATAATTCTCAACATGGCTATGTTTACTTTTCGGAATCCTAGAATGAGAATTCAACTCCACATAATATGCCAGAGTCCAATAATTAAGGGCAAAAAAAGACGTGGATTGGATAGCAAAATAAAGTGAGCTCTAATAATGTGCGTACCTCGAAACCAATTACCGACAACTTCTCTTCATTTACAGCTGGTATGCAGCTTCTGTAAGTAATATAAGCTTGTGATCCACCCCTTGATGTGGATGAATCCTCCAGTAAGCTTCTAAGTTTTACAGCAAGAAGTCGTTCTGCATCATGCAGCTCCGCATGTGGTTTTGTACCATCCAAAGAGGTTTCAAGATCAGATCTACCATTCACAGTCTTTCTCCCATTTGCATTTTTATCATCTTGGATCTCCACACACCTCAAAGGAATTCGGTAGCCGGTCTCACTACATCGATATTTTTCATCATTCTACACAAAAATTTCAAAACATTTAAAAAGGACCAATAAGTACAAAATGAAAGGAAAAGCAAACTGTGGTAGAAAGACGAACGAATTTCAAAGATAGAGAAACAGGAATGCAGTATTGTACGATTGACCCAGAATGGAAACAGGCAGATATGGATTGTTTTGATATTAGAAAATATTTTTATCATATATATATGTAATTTACTATTTCTATGTATTTTCTAATATACAGCTTGTTTATGAAATATTAGCCAAATTTATGAGTTTTTTTTATCTTTTTATTATTTTCCTTTCTTACAATGGGGTAGTATCTTACTATTGATAGGATAATGTGACACCCCGTTTTGTATTGGTCCTTTTTGGTGTCAAACTTTTGCTTGGTTTAAAGGTGGTGACAACACCAAGTGGCCAACTTTTGTCGCCTCTCATTAGTCCATAGATTATAGAAACTACCTAGTGGCCACCTTATGTCACTTCTGATTGGCCCAAGACTTCTAGCAACCCTTTAATTGGACCAATGAGTTGGATACGTGCTATTAATTCTTCTCTCCCTCATTTTTGCTACATAAGACACTAGATGGAATGAAAAAAGGATGATGAAGACTTAGTTTTCAATAGATTTCGAAGTACATTTCCCACTAAAGTTCTGTTTCTGCTTTATTGTTTTCTACCGTCTAGAGAATAGAGCAGCAAACAGGATTTTTTTAGAAACATGCTTCAAAGTTTTCAAAACAAAAGAATCATCATTTTCATCCTTTTTCGCATTACTCTAAGTGTCTTATATATCCAAAAATGATGAAAAAAGGAATCAATAGCAGCCTGCTGACTTACTAGTCTAACGAGGAGTTGCCACCAGTTATAGACCGAAAGTTGAGACAAGTTGGTTGCAAGGGGGCTGCCACTGTTTATGGACCAATGAGAGGCAATACAAGTTTGCCAATTCGGACTGCCACCATCTTTGAACCAATCAAAATTCTAGCATCTATAAGGACCAATAGAAAATAAGGTCTTATACCATTCCATTAATAATAAGAAGCCACCTTCTACTAAGAAAGAAAATAACAAGAAAATAAAATCAAATGACTTGTAAATCTATTCGATACTTTCTAAATAACCTATACAATATAAAACAAATAAACTGTAAAATTACATAAATATTACAAAAGTATTTTCTAACACTTAAAACAAACCATCTTAGCCTATTCCTGTTTTGCATCACTGAAACACCGCTCAGTCACACAATCACTAACTAATATGGAATTAACAATGCTCATGAGAAAAATACAAGGGTAGAAAGAGAAGAATAGGAAGCGAAGAGAGAATTTAATCAAGGTGAGGAAAAAGAGTAAGGGGAAAGAAGCGAGAATGAAGAAGAAAATCTTAAAAGAGAATAGAATAGAGTTGCCTTATATAGCAAAAATAGATGATAAAAAGAACCAATACCAACCTGCAAACTGGTTAGCCAATAAAAAGTTGATACCACTCTTGCACCAATGAGAAAAGAGACAAGCTGACCACTAGAGAGTTCTCACCATCTATGGACTAATAAGAGATGACACAAGTTATTTCAACCAAAAAAAGAAAAGAGATGACACGAGTTGGCTTGCTACCACTTTCGGACCACTCAAAAGTTGGCCACTAGAGAGTTAAACTTCATTTACGGACCAATTAGAGGTGACACTAGTAGGTTACTTGGTTTTTCACCACTTTAGGATCAATCAAAAGTGCGACACAAGTTGGCAACTCGGAGTTTGCCACACCATCCCATCCATGGTAAGGTGTCCATCTCATTTAAGGAAAGAAGGAAACAAAAAGATATAATGAAAATAACTCCTAAATCTAGGTAATATTTCCTACATCCTTACACATTATAAAGCATAAGAAAATACTAAAATTACATTATATTTTCTAACACTGAAAAGAAACCTCCTTAGCCTGTTTACAATCTGCATCAAGTTTACCTCATAATAGCATACAGGATATAAAGCAAGTAAAACAACAAATGCTATTGCAAGCATTGACATGACATATAAACAAATATTACAAATTCAGTTCTATTGTTGGTCAGGTCATTGATACCCACATGTAAAAGATATGAAAGGACATAAATGTGCCATGCTACTTTTTTTCGATTCTGTTGCAGAGTTGAAAGAAGAATTTTTTTCTTAGAACCACTTGAATGGAGTTCAGTAAACAACAAACTCTTAGACTCTCTAAGGAAGCTTCTCAATGTGTATCATAGGAAAAAGAGTAAAACGAAAAATAATTGTAAAGGGAAAGGATAGAAGAATAATTAGATCATGCTCCCACTTGATTACATGCACTTGATTGAGCAGTCCCAACGGTTGTAAACAATAGGTGTGCCCAACGAACAGGCACCTCTCTCCCGACCCTGGCCTATATTTGAGAGTTAGTAATTTGATGCACAACTTATACTACCAAAGATTTTGTTGTTGTGGTTTTAGATTAGGTCATTGCCATGACAGCTAAGGTTGCATTTTGTGAAATCCTAATTACATGTTGAAAAATAACATGATTGTTCTCTTTCATATAAAGGCCAAGTCACATATTGCTAAAAAGTTAAGTTGGAGTTTTTGTAAGCCAGATATCTAGATCAAAAAAATTGGTGAAGATTGTGATATTTCATTGCTTCTATTCTTATAAGAACTCAAATCACATACTACCAATAAATCATATTATAACACATGCCAACATGGTAGTTGTGAATATACTTGAAATGGATATTAAAGCTTAGAATGGTGAATATTATGATATTCATATTCACATCATAAAGGCATGTGATTATCCCCCTCTATATAAGAGTTCAAGTTGCATACTACTAATAAGTTGAGTTTGAGCTTTTGAGAGTAAGTGAGTTGAATTCTAATAGTTGTTGGACTAGTAATATTCGGTCCAAAAGCTTTATACATTTGGTTCAAAAACATTTTATTCTCATTCAATTTTGAAAGTTCAATTATTTAATATGAAGAAGTTAGTCATATATATGCATAATGAAGTTAGTCATATATATGCATAATTTAATCATCTCTACTCATATTATCAAATCCGTAAGCATGAAGTTGTTCTCCCACTTATCAATGAAGGAATCACAAAAACACTTAACTTGAGTTGGATATAAAACTAACTTGAAGTTAAAATATTACTTTCCAATGAACTTCTCTCACATTTCTATTGTTCTTTCAGTCCTATTCTATTCTATGGAATACAGTCCGGAACTAAATATCAGCGGACACAGTCTCAACATAAAATGAAGAAATTAATTTGAAACTCCATGATTCTTAATGCTAATATCCAATCATATCTCCCGTCAGGCCACAGAAAACTCACTTAAACTAACATGCCGTCCATTCCAAATACTATACCAGTATAATAACACTTGAAACCTTCCCAACAGTAAAGCTAAGTAAGTAACCACAGTGAAAGATAAAATGAAGACTAAAATCAAATTGGAAACTTTTTTAACCTTTTATCACCTTAAAGGCTACACCAAACTTCACCACCAAAAACTGGATTACCAAATGCCAGTGAACTAGGATAGAACTTTGTAACAGACGAACTGCGCTAACTGGAAGAAACTGCAGCTATGCTATATATCTTTTCCTCTTTTCGTATCCCTCTCTTAGTTTTGCCTAAGATTACAAATGCAAGAAGGACGAGTAGGAATGTTTACAGGAAAGCATTAGAGCCCAGCACACAAGAGGGCAACTTCTCACAGAACAATCCGAGGAACAAAAAGATCCAAAATTTCCAAAACTCATTTATCATGAAATTCAGTTCCCAAAATTAAACGGGAGACTCTAAGCTGATCGCCCTTCAAATCACATAAGATCCATCACAAAAATCGACAGGATCCATTGGAACCAGACATGAATAAAGATTCATTTTACCCGAAAACAAATCCAACCAAACAAAAGAAACCATGAAAATAAAAGGAGAGATCAAAACCTTTTCAGAGTAGAGGCAGGGAACGCAAGGACCCGAGCGAGAGCATTCAAACGTTACATTAGTTCCTCCAGAAACTTCCTTGAAGCTCAGCAGAGCTCTATTCGCTACACTTTTCGTTGTACCCTTGCTTCCAGAGCTTCTGCACTAATCAAGTCACAAATTATCTTTCAAGCGAAAAGGGCTGCAAATTGAATTTTGAGCCGGTGTGTGTGCAGATAAATTAGCAAGATTTGCCATCAAATAATAGCATACACTTATATATGCGTGCGTGTGTGTGTGTGTGTGTATAGATATATTATGCATGAATTACTATAGATATTTTTAGATGAATAATACACGGAAACAAGGAAAAGAAGCGTCGATGCGTTACTGTTGATCTGCTAAGGCAATATGAATAGAAGATGATTCTGAGAGGACAGTTGCTATAAGCAGGAGAAGAAGAAAGCGTGATGAATTCGGAGACGGCATTCTTTCTCTGGTCTTCCCCTTCTTCGCTTGATTTCGGAATTTTAAGAAGAAAATAAAAAACAAGACGGACTCAGGTCAGTAGTCTTGAAGGGGGGGGGGGGGGAAATGAAATTTGGGTCATGAAATGAGATCCATGGGATTACGAATAAGACCCTGACCCGACCCATTTTCAATTTCAACAATGGGCTCTCCCGCTTGCGCCTATTGGTTTAGGGCTCAAGATCGGGGCTGTATGCCCTAAGAAGAAAACCACAATGGGTCACCTGTAGAAAAGAAAATCAATCAAATTCTATTTTGATTAATTAATAATTTAAAAAATCGTAATAAAAATAAAATGGAATTATAATTTATAGAATATTATTTTTAGTATTTTCAAAAAAATTATTTTGTTTATTTTATTCATAAATACATTTGAATTTAGGGAACGTAACACTAAAGAAATATTTTTATTTAGCAAACAAATCCAAGAGTTATTTTTTTTTTTTAATTAATGGTATCATCGTAGTACCTCTCCCCCATTTACGTAAGCTTCAATTTAAATCATAATTTGTACTACAATTCGAACCCTAATATCCAATGTAAGGAATAAAAGGAAATCTAGAGAAGATGAGCTAGCAGCAAATATGTGTAGAAAAAATTAAAATTGGTACTTCAATTCAATTATATGGAACATGTAATGTAAAAAAAAAAAAAAATGTTGACATATTAACTTAAAAAGAAAAAAAAAATACTACGGCTGAATGAATAATGAGAAAATATTCTATTTTGAAATTCAGTTGGTTAATTGTACATGTGTGTATTTATTTGGTGGGTGGGTCAGCTAATTCTGAAAAATTATTGAAACTACCCATCTGATTTGAAAGTCTTTTAGGTTAGAAAGCCAAGCCAAGCCAAACAAGGTTGGGTTGATTGATTGATTGGGTTGACAGAGATACTTAGACCTAGGCGATGTGGGATCAATTGCATGTGCTCTTGCCATAAATTGCCCACTCACCAAACGATGCCGTCTTCATGGTCCCCATCTCTTCTTCTCCTCTCCAATTCCATTGCCTTTGGGACGCAGTTAATACAGTCACGGGTATTCTGTGTTATGCTCTTCCTACACCTGCACATTTTCAATTCAATTCCTTCAAATCCCGATTCCTCAACAATTATAGCAACAAGAAGCACCTCTTGAAATCGTAACTTACACTGCACACACAATAATATTCTATTCTACTTGCTTCATCCACACAACTAATCTGATCAGTTCAGTAATTTCGCATCTAGAAACACATCATCATACTTTCTGTTACAGAAATATATGAATGACACAAAATTTCCATATATCTATACATAATTACATACTACATAACTTGATACACGAGCCTCCCTCTCAATCATCATGCCTGCATAGCTCCTTCAAAATCCATCTCAATCCCTCTTATTGTCACTGCAACAGCTTCCATTGTTTTTTACATCATAATAATTGAGATTCTTGGTTCTGTAAACAACAGTATATGATGATGCTGACTCATTTTGGCACTTATCAATAATGAGGTCCGAGGTCCCCGATAAAATTTTAACCAGATAAGTGGTGGAATGCGTTGGACCAATCAGAAGTACTTTCTGGTTCAAATTATTCTAATTTATCTCCATAAAACAGACTCTTGAGATGAAAAGGAATTCTCCAAAAGAGAGCCATGAAAATTAAACATTCAAGGAAAGCTCCTTCACTAGCCATACTTGGATAAACTAATAAGTCTCTCGTCCCTTTCACAAAATTTTGTCTTGATATGACTTCATAGAAATAAAAGAAATGGGTACAAAGTTGATCTTGAAAACTAAACAACAAGGACAGTTCTTATGGAAGTAATTCATATATGTTCAGAGATATTTTCAGTAATAAAAGATAATTACCCAAGGAAGAAAAGAATCAAAGGATTCAATCTAGAATGATTATGAACACAACATCAGCAATTTGGAAGAGAGAGTTCACTAGAGGAGTAAATTCATGTGGTATGAAATTAGAATTGCCTTAATATTCAAGAAATACATGCACAGAAATTCCTGAAGAAACAGCTTAGAACAAACTCTTGAGGGTACAGAAACAGCTTTCTCCAGGATGAAAACAGCAGATTATTTTGACTGCACTAAAGCTACAAGCTACGGTACATAAAATACTTAATGTAATTTACAGAATTATCAAACAAATGTGCGTTAGAGCAGGTGATCCTGTTCAAATGGAAATCATACCCATTGCTAAGAGCTCCAAGAAACATAGAATACAGCAAGGAAGTTCCTCTTCTCGTCTTGTTGCCACCAAGATTAATCCTTGTAGTCAGGATCTTGTTTGCCAAATATCATCGGGAAATCATTATACTGCTCAGACAAGCCATGCCTCTCTGCCATGCTCTTCAATGACTCGTAAACCTGTACATAGAAGGTCTTTCCTTCGGTCTAGACACCAGACAACTACAGCAACCCTCAAAAATTGCATAATTTCATCATCATGACCTTTGCCACATATAGATCTATCAATGACATCCTTCCCTCTACCACTGCTTATCGCTTGATTGACCCAATCCACCAGAGTTCCTTTGAATCCTTCCTCAGCAGTACTGATCTCAAGAGGTTTTTGTCCAGTGACCAACTCCAAGAGCACAATCCCAAACCCATAAACATCCCCTTTAAGTGATGCAACCATGGTGCTAGAGTACTCGGGAGCTAAATATCCAAATTCCCCCAAATCCACATTGGCAAAAGAGCTGTCATTCGAATCACGAGAACCCAATAGCCTAGCTAATCCAAAATCTGTAATCCGAGCATCAAAATCATCATCGAGAAGTATCACATTCGAACTAACATACTGGTGCAAATAGGGGGGCTGGCAACCATGGTGCAGCCAAGCAAAACCTCTGGCCGCACCAACACCAATTTTGAGCCTAGTTGGCCAATCTAAAACCCCAACATGATCAACACCAAACCCAACCTGATGTAACTGTGAGTACAATGTGCCATTAGGCATGTGCTTATAAACCAAAAGTCTCTCCTCCTCCACGACGCAAAACCCTAAAAGAGGCACCAAATTGGGATGCCTTAGCTGGCCCAACCTATTCATCTCTGACCTAAACTGTTTTTCATTAAGCTTACAAACTCTAAGTCTCTTAACTGCGAGCGCAGACCCATCAGGCAGCACGGCCTTGTAAGAAACCCCAGTTCTCGTTGAGATCACGATATTCTCCGAATCAAAGCTGTTGGTTGCGGCGATCAAGTCCGCCAATTTGATCTTCACGATGGGTTTTTGGAACAGGGTGACCTGAACAAGCTTGTGTGACCTCAACAACTCAACCCAGCTACTGTCATCCTTAACACTACCAACACCATAACCTTTCTTCTTCCTATCGCTAACCCTGAAAAAGAACCACCACCAAATCGCGAAACCAATAATTAAAGACCCAGCGGCACCAACGACACCGGCGACTATAATCACGGCAAGATTTTTAGCGCTCAACCCACCGCATTTCGACAAGGGTTTCCCGCAAAGCCCGCTGTTCCCGTCAAATCCGCCATGCCCGAATCTCGATAGATCAGAAGGAATCGAGCCAGAGAGATCGTTACCTGATACAGAAAACTGCTTCAAACGATCTAACCGGCTGAGCTCGTAGGGGATTGAACCCGAGAGTTTATTGTTGCTGAGGATGAGACTGTTCAAAAACTTGCAGTCGGCGATCTCAGGGGGTATGGAACCCGAGAGGCGGTTTCCGGAGAGATCAAGGGTGACGAGGTAAGGTAACCACGAGCAGATTTGAGGGGGGACGGGACCCGAGAGATCGTTATCGGAGAGATCTAGAGCCTGGAGGCTGTGGCAGAGCTTGAGGGACTCTGGGAGCTCACCAGCGAGCTCCATAGAGGTGAGTTGCAAGCTGATGATGCGATTCTCCCTCTCATTCCAGCAAGAGACACCCGTGAGCTTGCAGACAGAGGCAACGGAGTTGTTGGTGAAGGTCCAGCCGTCTAGCCTATTAAGTGGGTCAGTGAGCGAGTTCTTCAAGCCTTGCAAGCACATTACATCGTCCTCAATGGATAAGCAGAGAAATGGAGTTATCATCATCAGCAGAAATAATACAATCGGCATCTTCATGGTGATAGTTATTTTCTCGGTTGCTCTTTTGCTAGGATTAGGGTTTGGAAAATGTAGAGGATGAGGGGGGAGGAGGAGGAGGTGGAGGAGGAGGAGGAGGAAGAGGAGAATTTGCGGCCATTGACAGCGTTTTCTAGAGGGACATGAAGAGAACGTTTGTAGTAGCTGTTTTGACTGCCAGTTGAAGTTTGTTTTGTTTGCTTCCTAGTGATTTTTTGTTCTGGGGGAACAAACGGCGCCGTTTTTTTATCTATTTATTAATTTACTTATATATTTAATTGTTTTGTAATATTAAAAAATGAAAAAAGAAAGCGGGTAATTTGGGGAATTTTTCGTTGAACGCTATAATTTTTTAAAAAACATTAGACGGAATCTTCACTCGGTACACGTAAATCTTTTTACTTGTTTCATTTTCGAGGAAATATTTTTACTAATAATTCAACGAAAATTTTAAAATGCAATATTTCCTTAAAAATGTACTATTAGATTAATTTGCATTTGTCAAATAGATAACTTTTTAATTAACTATTTTTATTCTTTTAGTACATAAATACATATATATAAATATTATTCACAGGATAATATAAATTAGCAATAAAAACAAAAAAAAAAAAAAAAACAAGCCAAAAAGAAAGGGGGGGTGGGAAAAAAAACCCAAGTTTACCAAACACCGCGGAAAAGAACACTTACCACAGTAAAGTTGATTCTGACCAGCGGGATAATTAATTATAAAGATTACTTTTCCCTTTCCCTTCATTTTGAGAGAGGGGGGTGATGTATTTGGATGATTACGAAATTGGGCTTAAAGAAAGACATGTAAGTTTGATTTGTGGGCTCTGAATTTGAGATTTTGAGAGGCCGCCATAGGCTTTTCAAGAAGCAGGCAGGAGATGTAAGGGTGAAGTCCAAGAAAATCAATTTGTAAATCTTAAATGGCAGTGACGAGACGAGAGAGTCACGTCAAATTTAGTAGTGAGAATTTTTTTTTTATTTATTGAGATGAAGTGGAGATAATACTCAAATTCGAATCATCTCAAACTTCAATTATTATTTTCAATTATTACGTAGTTGGTTATGATGGGAATTTAAAAGGAAAATAAAACTTTTTTAAAAATAAAAAATTGGAGATACCCCAAAAGGACTTTTTGGATTAAACAGTGAAGGGGGAAGGTGTCAGATTCAAAAGTAAAAGGGAAGAGATAACTAAAAGCCTGTTTTAATCAAGTAAAAGCCAAAAAGCAGGAACCAAAAGCTTTAAACCTCTCTTCATTAAGCAATTGATTGGCTCAAACTAGTGAGAGAATAAGTGCTCTTTGCTTTTTGCTCATTTGGATATTCAAATCAAACACCCAAACTTCCCTCCCTCACCCTTTTTTTTCTTTATATCTTTTCCCTTTTTTGCTTCTTACTTTATTCATTAGTGATTCTCCGTTGCCTTTTCCTACATCTCAATTTGGACTACTGAACTGCACGAAGAGATTCAAATTACTTCCCCCCCCCCCCCCCCATCTCAAGGACTTGTAATAAATTAATTGTTTATTCATGAAATTCTTGACGTAGATTTTTCTTTTTTATTGATATCGTTATATTTAACCAAATCTAATTATTATAAGACATTCTTTTTATCTAAATACGTCATAACTTATTAGTATAAATCTAAATCGATCATGATAATTTTATCGATGTATTAATAATTTAAATATTTATTATTGTCAAAATAAATATTATACACTAATTACCGTTAACTCGTAATACATTCATAAAGTGACGAATTTTATATATTTATAATTAACGATTAATTTATAATATTTTATTTATATTGAAATTATCTCTAATTAAATAAATTTAACCTATTATGAAACGTTTGAATACATCATTAACTTATTAGTATAAAAATTAATTTTAATAATATATTAATAATTTAGGTATTTGATCTCGTTAAATTAAATATTATATATTAAATTAATTTATAATACACTTATTTATAAAATAAAGAGTGTATCAAACCTAATCCCAATAAATATTACAATTAATAATGGAATAGTGAAATTATGATTTGTAATGTTGATGAAGAAAGTAGTGCTCGAAGTATCCACCCACCTACTGCACCAAGGAAGAAGCTGGTAGAAAGCAGAGTATATATAAAGGCGGCTATTATATATATATATATATATATATATACACACACACACACACACACACGTATATATACATATAAAAGAAAAATATCTCATCTACAACTCTCTATTCAACCTCATTCATTTAATTTATTATTCAGGTCCACCCAAATTTGCAGAGCATTTTTTTAAAATTTTATAAGTAGGTAGTGCTATTCTGATATATATAAAAAATTAACAAAGGTGGAAACCGCTACAATTTGGTTTCTCTATCAGCTTTCTTCTCTTCAGTGCATGTCAGTTTTGATACATATGTCTTTTATATTGCACATATTACATATTAATTATATCCAATATATTTACATTTATTAGAATATAATGTTTTAATTAATGTGTATGTATTATTTAATTAATAAAATAAAAATATATTTAATTAAAATAATAATATTTCAAATAAGAAAAAAGAAATAGTGCTAAAGCTGAATTTATTAATTTAATTAATGGTCTATCTAATTTTTTATTAAGTTCTTACGGTGGAAATATTCAGATCGAATTTGTAATTGTTAAATGCATTTAAAAATACGGAATTTTTATTTTTGTAGAAGATAGGATTTTTTTTTTACTTCTTATAGGAACTTATGCTACCGTAGAATTTTTATTGTAGTTCTTTTGGGAAATATATGTACTTTGATACATGATTTTGATCTTGCAATATTGTTGTAATAATTTTTGAAGCAAATTATTAAAAATTTAAAGTTAAGTTATTGATAAGAATATTTATAAAGAACCAGTAAAATTGTTTATGTAATAACCTTAATTTATTTAATTTTAATGTAATTAAATATAATATATAAATATATTTTTTTAATTTTATTTTTTAATTTTTATTTAATATAAAAATAAAAATAAAAATTAAAGGAATGATGAAATTGAAAATAATTTTGAAAAAAATATGTGAAAATTTGGGTTCTAACGGTATTGTTGAAAAAATATTAAAAACTGGAAGTCAAAACGTAATTTAAAAAATTGTGCCACATAAGACGCCCAGTCAGCAGCCCCGACGAACCAGAGCGCGCCGCGTGGCAAGGAATGCTAACATGCTGCCACACAGGAGGTCACGCTGGCGATCCGCGTGCCCACAATCGGACGGTCCAGATTTGTTTTTGCACGTACGGACAGTCCGAATCCGTTTCCATCCTCAGACGCAATCGGACGGTCAAGAATCACTTTTTATTTAAACGTGATCGAAGAGTCTAAATCAAATCGTGATGAACGGTCCAATTTTACTCTTTATTTAATCGCGATCGGACGGTTCAGATCAAACGTGATGGACGATCCAGATTAAAAGATGATAAATATAAATAACTCTCTTCATAACCCTAGCCGCCAGACCCCCTCCCCCCCCCCCCCAATCGGAGAAGAAGACCCAGTCGCTGGGAAGGAAGTCAACCACCGCTGCCGCTGCGCCGGAGCCACTTCCGACCGCCAAAAGAGATTAAAAAAAAAATTTCTCAAAATTCGATTTTAAACACTCTTACGGTCAAATCAGAGCAAAAGAACTGATAGATTGGCCGAAAACCACGGGTAAAGTTCGGCGGCGCCGCCGCGGAAAAATGCAAAGATTACCTCTAATGAGGTCCTTTCCAATTCATGTTCTACGTAATTCTTTCACCATTATAATCACTGTTTTCTTATCTACAGGTTGATCGAAGCAAAACACCCAACCGTGAAGGCGAGCCGACAGAACTGCCGCACCAGAGAACCCCACCGTCGATAAGTTTCAATTTTTTGACTTTTTTCGACCAACAGAGACCCCTTAACATGTTTTCTCATAAGAATTGGTACAAAACTGGCCGAAAACAGCCGACCCGAGGCAAACTGCCACTGCGGACGGCGGTGCCGTCACCGAAGCACGGCAGAGCCACTGTGCTAGAATTTCAGAATTGGCCAAAAAGAGTTCCTAACACTGATTTTTTAATTTTTTTTTAGATATTTCTAGGTACTTGAAGTGCGTTTTAATTCCCAAATGAAAATTCAGGGAACCCGGGGACTGCTAGTAGGCATAGTCAAAAGTTTAGCATTTCAGACATCGATTTAAGTAAGAATCTCTCACCTTATTTCCTGTTATCGAATTGAAGTTTAATTTTAAATAATATGGTATTTTGTGAAACTTAAAAAATATTCATAATTAATTACAGGTTACTAATGGAGTCGTAACCGGTTATTTATTATTATTTGTTATGTTTAACTAATTATCTAATTTTACAGTTTTCGAATGCATGATAATATACTGAATTGGTATGATGATGCGATTATATTCCTTTGATGCATGTCTTGCTTGTTTTATATGATTATGGTTGAATTAAAAAACTAAAAATTAAAGTTAAACAAAAAATTGTTTGATTAAGTAGGTGAATAAAACGGTAGCTTTACTGGATATCTTGAGAGATGGTGGACAGACCGGGTACATAGAGAACCCTACCATGAACGTTGCCTCATACCGGACGAAAAATTGAGATTTGATAATTTTGCGCTCATACCGGACAATGTATGGAGACGACCTTCACTTTCATACCGGATGAGGTATCGAGATTTTGTAATTTGGTGCTCATACCGGACGGGGTATGAAAACGACCCGTTAATTGAAAATATTAAAGAAAATGGTTCACGCATAGTAGAGACATCCCTATGGACCCCCATGGATACTAGTAGGCTGCAAAAAAAAAATTTATTGTCCAACCAATTGCATATGAAATTATGATATGAATTATGTTATTAACTCTATAGGTTATTTTTGTAAATCTCGTTACGGTAAATAGACGGTAAATGATTTTATTTATGATAAACGAATTTGTTTAATTAAGAGTTCTATTAGTTGTCTTTATTATTTCTACCAACACTCATTTCTATGTCGGTGAGTAGCGTGATATTCTTACTAGCCTAGTATAACTCACTCTTTCATTAACCATTTCATATCAAGATGATCAGGATCCAGAATCCGATCCACAAAAGAGTTGCGAGTATGACGTTCACTTTGTTTACTTTTAATTTATTTCTTTAGTTGTTAGTTGTTCTTTTAAAAATATTATAACCATAAATCCTATTTGGTACTTTCAGTTATTGTGTAAAGAATATAAATTCTAACTATTTATTTCGCTTCCGTACTAAATTTATAATTGATCTCATTTGAAGATTTCGGAGTCGTTACAGTATAACCAATCACGTAATTGTCATATTAACAATATTTTTTGAAGTTTAATGTATTCATAAGTATATTTTTTGTCACATAAATATCTGGCTAATAATATTTAATACATCATTAATAATAGAGGTTTATTTAGACAAAAATTTAAAAGTATATGTTATATTTAAATGGAGTAAAGATAGTGTAGTAGTGAATTTGAACTTTGCTAAACGACATAAGGATTTTTTTGATGTATTAAGCAAAATCCTTAATCACACTAGCCTAAATTGATTGATTGATTGATTGCTCTAAATCTATCTATAACATTATCCAAACGTCTTTTCAAACATAATCAGATAAATTAATATATAAATAATTGATGCGAAATTGCGACGTTATGTGCAATTTTAGAAAAAGAAAATTTTCATACATACTTTTGTGGAGATGGAGAAGAAAATGAAAAAAGAAAAGGAAGAGAAAACTGGTGTTGGGGGGATTGACTTTGCCAAACCATTCATTTCCAACATTTCATATTTTGTTGGCAGACAGGAAAAGCATGAAGTCAGATCGTGCAAATTAATGCTGATATATAAACAATCTCTCTAGCCTTTTACTGATTTCAGAAGCTAAAAGAAGATAAATAAATCTATAAAACCCACAAATTATGTACATATATATATCTATAAGTATGATATCTCATCTGATTACAAAGCAAACTAGACAATGTTGTAATTTATGTATGTTAAAAAAAAAAAAAAGAATCCACAATTCTGTCACTCAACCCTACATGTAAAATCTATATTTATACATACTAATTAGGAAAATTATATTTTGCACTTAAATCTACTTTGTTGGGTTGGTCCAAATTCAGTCTACTATGTTTTTTTTTTTTATATTGAAATATGGATTAGGATTAGGCCGAATTATAGTTAGCAGAAAAAGAGAAGTAGCGGTGTGAAAGTTTAACATTCCATAACCGATTAATTTCGAGTTATGGATAAATTATAGGTTCAATATAGTTTAAAAAAATTCGGGACAAATTTGGGTTCCTTCTTCATAGAGGCATATAGAGTTCAAATTTTCTAAACCAAATTATCATTCATAATACTAAGAACTAATTAATTAGATGTTTGGTACTTTTTTTTTTTTTTTTTCTGCAAGAGATTGTAGTAGATTCGAGTTAAATTGTATTTTAGTGTATGTCTTCAATTTAAATGTTATTTTAATTATGATGTTATTTTTACTGTATTATTATTGATATATGTGTGTACTTATAAATTTAATTAAGAAAAAAATTTATTAATAATTGATGTATATATATATATTACTAAACATAAATAAAAAAGATTTTTATTTACACCCAATTTAATTGAATAGACTGAATTTAGTTTGCCCCAAAAATGTGAACCAGTTGCTTACTTAATATAATAATTAAAAAATTAAGATTATCTTAATTAATTATTTCCATAGAGTGCAGCAAATAAACAGGGAGAGTACCTGGTGCAGCTGTTTATCATTTAAACACAAATGGAAGCAGACAAAAGAAACAAGAATCCTCCCGCAACCGATAAAGACAGCCCATCTTTTTTCATAACCTGTACAACCCAAAAGGAATCAATCACCTAATCACCTACTTAATCTATTTCTCTAAACTCCCCCGATCTTTAGTTAATTACCTTTTTTATCCCACTATTTTATCATTCTTTCCATCTTCCACACTTTACATATTATCATTTCATCTTCACCATCACGCAACACTGATTATGTTATCACCACTTGACATCGCCTGGAAAGCCGAAGAACGCGACGCTGCCGGCTTGTCGGGCGACATCGGAGTCGAGAGCTTCAGCGACAGAGGCAATAAGTCCGTCGCGGATGATGTCTGGTTCAAGTTAAGATCAGCCATTTTTGAAGATGGAGGAACCGGAAGGACAGGTATCGGACGGATGAGATTGGTTGATGTCTTTGGCTGGTTGCTAAGCCCTAATGTCAGCTCCTCCATGGAATTCTGCTCGCTCGCCGGTAATACCACCGGACTTATACTCATCGGAAAATTCGGCATACTAAATACGCCGAGATTGCTTTTCATCTGTGGCTGCGGAACTGGCACAACTACGTTCTCTTGGTTTGCTCCCTGATCTTCTTCCATTATCGAACCCTTAAACTGTAAAAAGTTGACAATCAGATAAGCGGAAGCTTAATCTCAACAAGACGAACGAGTGATGGGGAAAAGAAATTTAAGATTGTTGAGCATTCGATAATTTTACCGTGTCAGTAGTGATGTCAAAAAGGCTAGATCGCCGGCGCCGGCGGTTTTGGTTGCTTCGCCGGAGAAAGTATTTCTGAGCATGACTTGCCACCTGAGTCGGCGTACGTGTTTTGACGAAGTTCCTAGAAATCCCTCTCCAATCCCCTTTCCCAACTTTCTGCAACCCTAACAGGAAGAGTTTGTGTTCTTCCTCCGTCCATGGAACACCTAAAAAACCAGAATAAAAATCCACCAACTTAATCAGATGTATAGAAATATTCATATGTGAAGTACTTATATATATATATAATAAGGGGTGGGGTCTAATACCTCTCTTGCGCTCGCGGCTACGACCGGAGGGGTGAACGACGTCGTCTGAGGCATAGCCGGCGTCGGCGTTGGAGTCCGGTACTGGGCCCTGATCGAACTGGGAAAGATTGTTCATACTAACACTCTTCCTAAACGATCCTTCGTTCGTTAATCGGACACCAAACAACATAATACCGTTCTCCCCGCCGGTTTTGCCACCAGAACCGGAGACAGCGGAGGGGGCGGCGGCGGCCTCCCCGCATGTACGAGAGTTATGGCCGTTGTTCCCACACTGTGAGCAAGTGCGAGACATGTTCGGTTCACTACTTGCTGCAGCAATTGTCACAAGTTCAAAAAAGAAAAAAAAACTTGGACAAGGGAAAAGTCTTGGTAGTATGAAAGAAACCAAACCTTGGAAATACCGGAGAATTGGAAAGAAGAAATAGTTGCTTCATGCAAGGAGAGAAAAGCTTGGAATTGGGCAGGGGGGGAGAAAGAGAGATGGAGAAGAAAATGGAATATAAAGAAAAGTTTAATGGTTTGGTTGATATATAAAGCAATTAATTTTTTTTTTTTAGAGTTTTCTAATTATTTATTTATCGTTGGTGGTGTTTGAGTTGGTGCCAAACATGTACGCTAACATCGACTTTTGGATCACAGAAGGTAATGTTTCGATGCATTGAGTTGTCACGTGTTGATGCACAATATCTAATAGATTGTGTTTGAGATCGCGAATCTGAACCGTTGGATGTGTCTGACCTCTTATAGATACAAACAATATCAAGTGTTTTAGTCACATCCCATCTCTCTGTTGGGATTATTTTTCTTTTTTTTTCAACTCGCTAATCGTGATCATTTTAATTTTTGGGGTCTTCGTCAAGATTTTGTTCTTTTTTTAAATAAACAATTTCCTTTTAACGATAAAAACCAAAATAATATTAAAATCACCACTCAAATTTAATTTTTAAAAATCCACGACAATCAATATATTCAGTGGTTTTTTATGTGTGATTTTTTGAATCTCCAATAAAATTTTTACTATTAATTATTTAATTTTTATTGAAAATAAAAAATTATTTAAAACCCCAATTTTTCGTTCGGTTATATTAAAATTTCACGCGAGACCTACCAAAAATAATATAAGTTAAATCCAATCGGCGATTTATTAAAACGACGTCGAGGAATATTCTGAGTTTCCATTAAGGTGGGGTGGCGCATAGATACAAAAGCTCCAATGAGAAAACGGACGTAAATATTAATGTGTTATCTAAATGACGATTTTGTGATATATTAATTAATTATCTGGAGATATTAAATTATTAACTTTTTTTTTATAGATATATATTTTTTTAAAAAAATAAAAAAATAAAAAATAAAAGGATGGTGGAGAAGCGAAGGAGGATATGAACCGTGAAGGCGGTATATTCGGTGACCCAGTATGGAAAGATTTCGTTGTCTCTGCATCATATTTAGTTTTATTTTTAATTTTTAATTTTTAATTCTTAATTAATGGGAGTAGGCATAATTGTGGAGTATAAGAAAATTGGTTGGACCGTGGGCCCCACTCCCTCTCCTTCTTCAATTCCCTCTACCCTTGTATGTGGCTCTTGCCACTGCTACTGGTGGATTATGGATGGATGGATACCTTCGTCTTCATTTTTTCTCTTTTTAATTTTGTTTTACGTTGCCTGCTTTTTCTTTCCCCCTTTCCTAATCCAATCGAATAACCGACCACCATCCTCACGGACCAATCGTTGTTCTTGCAATTTGCTGGTCCTTGGATTGTTTTCTTTCGTTGCCTCACAGTCCTGTCGGTCTAGAACTCCTCTTTTGGATAGCACGTGCTTCTTCCTTCTACCCCTCCCTCTGTCATAAATTATTTTATTAAAAAAAATCAAAAACAATGTTGTCCTCTCCATGTTTTGTTCAGGGGTTGATGCGGTTTTACTATTATTATTATTTTTTTTCTTATAGTTTCATTTTATGATTTTAGTGGGGTGGCGGTTGCTACGCTTGTGATCAATCCACTGTCGTTTTGCTTGTGTGTTCCATCAGGCAAACTAAGCCATGTTACTATATTTTGTTAAAATTTTATTTTACTATTTTCTTAAGAGAAAATAAATTTTATTTTACAAGCTTCTATTAAAATAGATATGAAGTTTGAATTTAAACTCCAATATGTAATTGTTACTAAAAAAAAATATCATGTCACTCATAGCTATATGTATTTGGCATAATATTTTTACTGACCGAGTGAATTAAAAAGCTATAGAGATAATAAATTTACTATTAACAAATATTTACAATCTAATTAAAATCATGTCGTATAAAATATAATTATTTTTTTAAAAAAAAATCGTCTCTTCTTCAAAAATAAATAAGAATTCACTTAACGCTAATTTTATAAAATAAAAACTCTTTACATCATATACTTATATAGAATAAATTCATCAAGCCTAAATGAAAAATGTCATGTCACTCTAGCTATATATTTTTGGTATGATATTTTTATTGACATAGTAAATTAAAAAGATACAGAGATAATAAATTTTCTATTAATGAATTTTTGAAATCTAATTGAAATCATGTCGTATAAAATACTAAAAGAAAATAGTCTATTATTCCAAAATAAATAATAATTCACTTAACACTAATTTTATAGAATCAAATTTTTCTTCTTTTTTTTTTTTTTTTTTTTTTGCATCATATATTCGTATAGAATAAATTCATCAAGTTTAAATGAAATATTATCCCATCAAAATTTTGTCGTGTTAAACGTGTCTCATTTGGGTAGAGGAATAACATCTTCTCGTAATAAAATAATAGATTTTTTTATTTTTTTATTTTAACTTTAGCTAATATGAGTTTAGAAATATCACGTACACTAACATAAGTTTAAAAAATCACTGCATTTGATGTGAGATATAAAAATGCAACCTTTAAAATAAAATATTTTTTTAATTTTATTTCTTCCAATATATATATATATTTTTAATTAACCTAACTAGTAATAAATGTAAACCCCATAAAGTACAAATAATTATATTTTTCATCAATTTGCATGCAGCATATGATTATTAGAGTAAACTTATTAACCAAGAATACCCAACCTTTTGCTTCTTCTCATATGTAAAGAGATAACAATAATAAATGTCCACGTATAAAGTTAACTTTTGGCAAATTAGATTTTAAAAAATGGTTATTACTAATGAGCCAATCAATCACCATCAATTAGGAACGCGGTAACCAATTGAAATAATACAACCCATTTGATTAATTTTTTATTATATGATTTAAAAAAAAAAAAAAAGTGCTAACTTATTTCATATACCAAGAGATAATAGCATTAATAATTCATTTATATGTAAAAAGTTAATTTATTCATTATTGATATTAAACTAAAACTTATCATTATTACTACTGTAACTAAACTTTTATATTTAATTTCTGTTAGATATGATTATTATTAAATAAATAGTAATAGAGTTCCTTTGCGTCATTAATAAAAAAATAAAGAAACAATCTGAATCATTAAATTCTCTTAATTGAGATAGTTATAAAAATGTTAAAAATTCAAATTTATTTTATTTTTTATTTTAAAAAAGGATACAATTTAATTTGCATATATATATATATATATATTGAGTTTCATCAAATTGTTAATGATTAATGCGGTCCTAATAAAATTAATTGATTTATTGGATAAAATTATATGATTTATTCAATGTTCTTCCACAATTTAACATTTATTGATAAATTTATATACAACTTGTTATTGGTGGTATTGAATAATTGATGAGGATTTAATTCTCAACTATAAAATTTGCAAGGCAATAGTTTAAGATGTAGGTGCTAAATGTTTTACTTCATAGACAATTATAATATAACTTCATTATGTCCGCGTTACGAATGATCGATGCTATAACTCAAAGCCAAGTTGAACTTCGTATCAAATTTTAAATAAAAATTTGATCGAATTCGAAAACATAGTTAAGTTAAATTCTAAATAAAACTTTATACATGGTTTTTGTTCTTTAATTATCTTCTAATAAATTTACTTTCCTTTTAAAAAAAAAAAAACTAAGTGTAATTATTCTACCAATAAATGACGTGAAATTTTAAGATTTATTTTAAAATTATGTTTGAAAATAAATTTAAAAAATTTCATAAAATATCAAATTTCCTATACTCTCAGTTTTTGTATATTCTTCAAAATGTGTTTGTCATGAATATTTGAATATAAAATACTTACAATTTGACAAAAATAATAGAACACAAAACTGAAAATGCATCGTCTATATTTATAGTCTCTGCAGGTATTCTTGGAACATTTAATAGTTTTTATTCTATACAAATGTTACTTGTATTTGTAGATGTTAAATTATAATGATTCTCTTTTAACCCGAATTCTTTAATTTATTGTTATTATTTTAGATAAGAAAATTTTATTATTAAAAGATATTATTTTTATTTATAAACGTAATAAGCTTACTAAGACTTAATTTAATTTAATCACCGTACCTCTATTAATATATTAAATTATTAATTACACTGAATTAAATATGATAGGTCAGATACCGTTAATTCATAAAATAATAAATTTTATATAAATTATATGTATAAATTGTATATATATCTTATATATTTATATATACACATACATCTAAAACATATTGTACAAATATTTTATATATATATATTTTTTGGGTTGAAAAAATTATTAATTTTTGGTCCTTCCAATGCTATATAATTTAACCACCCCCATCTATGAAAAAGACATATTTGAAAAGTACAAATTTGTTAATTGAAAATTCGAACAACTTTGACTTAAAATAATAATGCCTCTCATATAATTGATGCATACTAAGGAATTGTTTATTTCTATGGAGAAATAATCAAATATGTTCCGTATAGATTAATTAATTGTTAAATAATAATTAGCATTAGCTTTTGCAACTCGTTTTAATAAAAGCAAATTAGTTACAGACCTTGATTTAAATGCATGTGACGAATTGGATTTTCAACTTTGACTGCGTAGATCTCCATGCATTTGGAGAAATTAAGGTAGCGTGGGGTGCTTGACTTCTAATTGACCGATTAATTAAGCTTCCAAGCAACGTAGCTTGAGCTATTATCCGTCCAATGCAAGATTTTTCCTCTCGAAAAAATCCTTTATATAATCTTTTATACATATATATATATATATATATATATATAAAGCTTATGGATATTGTTATAGAGTCCAGTCCCATCAATATTAAAAGATTTTCTACACCAAAATTTTGACAAAATAGATAACATAGAAATGATCAACGAGCAAAAGAAGAAAACAAAAGTTTGGAATGACGATACGCTAAAATTGCAATAACCGAAATTAATTTTAAAATTAATATATAAAATATAATTTTAAAATTTATAAATTTTTATTTAATGTAAAAATTAGAAAAAATATAGGTAGATAATCAAATTGAAAATAATTTAAAAAAAAAATGAGTAAAAATTTAAGTTCAACACGTATTTTTGAAAAAAAAATCAGAAACTGA